AATTCCTCTCACACGAGACTCTCGTGACAAAATGATGTTAATAATCATTGAATTCATAATATTTATGTTTTATGTTTATATATTATATAGTAATTATAATAATAATAATAACAACTCACTTTTCAAACTCCTATATTACTTGAGATCTCCTAAGTTACTTAGTTGATTAATTGAATGTTACTATCAACAAAGTCAACCTTGGGAAGTAGTTACTTTTAGGCACTTTGAAAGCCTCTTAAGAATGGTCAAGAACTACTTCATCCATAACCAAAAGGTTTTGGGTTCGAGTCTTTTTTGGTATGGAGTTACTTTTATTAGGGAACGTTTTATCCCGTGTGAGGCGTTCCAGTGCAAATTCGAATTTAATCGGACTCTAATATGGATATCGAACACCGAGTGAAAAACAAAAAAAAATTAGTAAGAACTCGTTTGGTCATGAGTATTATTCATTTTTTTCGTAGTATTTTCTTACTTTATATTTCAAAATTAGTGTTTGATTATAAAAAATTTAGATCCAGCTTTAGAGTTGAATTTCAAATTTGAAAAATTGTTTATATCTTGTTTTCCAACTCCATCTTCAATTTCAAGTCCGAAAAGTGTTCTCTTCTCTTATTTTGCAAAAAAATATCACCGAACATAACTTCATCATCAACTCTAACCTCATAAATTTAAGAAAAAAGTAAAAAAAAATAAATTAAAATATTTAAAACTTATGATCAAAGCCTGCTAAGAATAAATGCTTTTGAATAACACATAGTATAGAGTATATACATAATCAAAGAATAACATCTTTATACACATGGAGAATAAATTGACTTACTAGTTGTGATCACTATTTTGAAAAAAATTCATATATCAAAAGGATGCTGATAAAGAATATGAAGTGTTGTCCAGTTTGTTCTTTGAAGTAATGCATTAGAAGAATACTCCATATTTTAATAAAGAGTGTATATATATATATTATACATCGTGTAAGTAATTTTTACACCAACAAATCACATTACAAATTTCACATGTTAATGAGGCTTATTTATACATATATATATTCTTTAATTTATGTAGGTTCAGAATTTTTATGTTGACGATGTATATACATTAAATCAAAAATAGAAACAAAAATCACAAGCTACTTCAAGTAAAAGGACAATTAAGAGACACCAAAAAGTTACCAAAGGTCAAATCATATTTCATTTCTTTTGACATTATAACTATTAATTAAAAGGGTTTATTGATTCACTTAGAAACCAAAATACACTACTCCTATTTCCTAGCTTTCAATGTGTCCGATACTCACATTGGAATCAAACTAAATCCGGATTCACCCTCTCTCAATTCTTACTTATCTATCAACCTCAAAATTGGTATAAGAATAATCAAGTACATTCAGAAGGAGTTTGTGGTCCAAAAAATTTCATATTTGCATTTGAACAAGTTGCAGTAGTGGTCTGTTGGCCATTCAAAGTTAATTCTAAACCCCTTAGCTCAATCCCTTGACATGGTACACTTTTGCTACAATCAAGCACTACTCCCTCTTTTGAAGCTGAAGTTCCTTTTATATTTATGAATTTTACATCTGAAATTTGCACTTGTGAATCACCCTGTAATCAAATATATATAATTAATATACAAGCTAAAAATGCATTTTACAAACAATAAATGTTAAAATTCATATATTTTCAAATCTTTCTATAACAAAGTCGTTTGTACACATCATTTGATTGTTATAACAAGGCCGTTTGTCCATAGATGGGTGAACTATCTTAAAATAGTTGTATTTTATTTTGAAGTGGGACAAACAGAGAATTAACATTATTTGGGACAGTTCGTTCATTTGTTGGCAAAGTGTCCATTTCTGTCTGTGTTTTTAGAGAGGGTCCTTTTTGATATGTGATGCTCAAAAAGTGTTCATTTTGAGGTCTAACTAGACAAAATATATAATATAACAACATGAAAAAATGGTTTTTTAAAAAAAAAACTTGATTGTTATTGAAAGTTATTTATTGATCTCTGAATTAAGAAAGATCAAATTTGTACTCCCTTGGTCTAATTTATGTAGGCAATATTTGACTAGATGATACAAGAGAGAGAGAAAAACTATTTTTAAAATTTGTAATGTAAAACAAGTTATAAATATGTATGTGGCAATAAATCTTCTCAATAAGAATAAAATAATGATTTCAATAAAATTGAAAAAGAAAAATGTGTCACATAAATTACGTACCTGATTTTTACAAGATGAGTGAGGACAATAATGTTGATCAATGATGATAGGATTTTCAACATAATTCATATTAATATTATCAAAAGTGACATTGAAAACTTTGCTAGGAGGTGAAGGTGCCCAACTCTTTATCCTTAGTCCATTTTGAGTTTTCCCAATATTACAATTTGTCACTATAACTCCATTCACATCACCTTCATTTTGGTATTTTCCTAAACTTCCAATGCTAATGCCATGTCCAGGCCCACAATTAACCTCAGAAATGTGAACATTAGAAGTACCAGGCCCAATAGAAACACAATCATCTCCTGTCGAAATATTTACTTTGTTAATAATTATATCGTTGGAGTCGCCTATATGAATCCCATCAGTATTTGGGCTTTCGTCCGGTGCTGTTATGGTCATGTTCTGAAAATGAACTCCTTTGCTTTTATTAATTTGGAAGTGGAAGAACTTGCTGTTGATTGATGTTATGCCTTGTATTAAAGCATTGCTCATGCCGTTGAATTTTATCGACTGTTTATAATATACAAGAAATAAAATGTTGTTAGTCCATAATAAAATGTTATAAAACCATTAGTTATATCAACTACTTATCAGCTATACAGATATTTTGATTGAATCATAAGAAAAGAAAAAATATTCAATGGTTATATCAAGTATTTTAATGAAAATATGTTTACTACCCTACGTTTTCCCAGTGAATTGGTTCAATAGGGAGAAAATCATATATCATAGCATAGAATTTACATTGATTCATAATGGAAAATTTTATGTTTCTAGTAATGACTATAATAGTACTTCCATTAGTTATATTTGAAATCTCTATTGAATTCCAAAAAGATATTTTAAATTTTTAAATAAAAAATTTACTACTCAATATCTTTGGACCATCTTATTAACAAAATGGGTACATAGTGAATAGTTAGTATACACATATATACAACATATACAATCAGAGTATATAGATAATGTGTACTTCAGTCATGTTGATAAACTAGAGGGGGGAAGGGTATCTTTTTCTTCTTTTTTTAATTTCTTTTAGTTGTGATTTTCTTTTGTGTTTACTAAGAAAATAAACAATTAAAAGGGAAGAAAATATTTAATATGCAATAAGAAATATTTTTTTTACCGAAGGAGGATTTGGGCCGTTGTCATTATATAAGGACCATGCAGATGGGCCTTGACCATCTAAAGAACCTTCTCCATTAATAGTCAGCCCATCAATATGTTGAAATAATATCCAATAATCATCTTTGCATTTACCCAAAGGAGCTTTCAAAAGTCCATTAATGTTAAAAAAAGTTGGGCCTTTGCAAGGCCCATTAAATGTTAATGTATTCAACAAAAAAGTTCCTATTGGAATAAGAATTGTGCCTCCTCCATTGTTTTGACATGTTTGGTTCCATGCCTTCAAAAATGCCTACAAAGAAACAAAAAGACTTTGAGAATCATGATTATGATAATCGGCAGATGTATAATATATGTATTACATGTGTATATTCTATGTATATTAACCAGAAAGGGTAAAAAGTGAAGAGACATATACATTGAAAGAAGTTATTTATCTACGCACTGTAATTATCCACCAAAAATGCGTCGCTAACTATTTTGGACAAGGGTAACTCTATCACTGTATACATTATCAGTATATTGTAACATATTATAGCATTTTGTCTATCATATTTTCTAGATTACTAATTTCGACTATTGTGATTTTACCTGACTACTATCAGTCTTCCCATCAGGACTAGCACCAAAATCTTGAACATTAAACACTGAGCCAATAGCATGAACTTGAGAAACCTTAATTATTATCAAGAAAATGACAAATAAAGAAAGGGAATGAAAGAAAAAATGGGAAGAAGTCATTTCTTGTATTGTTTGATTTTGTGTTTTCCTTCAATACTTGTGGAAAATGATAATTTTAAGTTGGGCAATTAAAAGTGATTTATTGGAGTATTTATTTAGTCAAAATTTTATAGTCGAAAATGGAAATGAAACAAATCAAATCCCAATTTTAACGTGAAGATCAATCAAATTTTAACGAGGCATCTCACTTTCCACTTTATAAATATGTTATTAAGTTATATGGATCAACTTAACGATTTTTACATTATACTTACTTAGTATATAACCTTACCTATAATTAGTATAACAAATATTCATATTCAGTATTATTATTCGTATACACTATGTCAACCGCCCTTAATAAGATAAATGTATCCTTTGAGATTTATGTTGAGTTGCTTTTCTTATAATTCTTAATCACTGAATTAGGCAAAATAATCTATGGGTATAAAAATACCAAGTTGATATTTTTACACTAGATAATAGATTTTTATGATCACAATTGCTTAACATATATTCGATTATTTATAGGAGATATGGAATACATAATTTCCAATAAACCAAAAATATGGTATACTGTTGAAGTATATGATAGAGATTGCTTTGCCTTTTTTCTTCTTTTAAAAATCTTTAATAAGAATCCTATAATTGATTAAATCAGTTTTTTTTAAAAATAATAATAATAATAATAATAAATAGACAAAATATTAAGTTGCAAAACATTACGCCAAGATTCAAGGTTAATTGATTTTATTTTATTTTTACCATTTTGGTATTTTGTTTGAAGAGATGAATGAAATAAGTAGAGGATACGACTTTTTGTAACATTATTAGCGTTTGGAGGGTTAAATGAATTTTTTTTTCAAATGAGATTGAGGAAATATATATAAATACATAAATAATAAAAAATTAAAAATTGAAGATTCTCTATTCAAATTCACTCAATTTGACATTTGGTATTCCAAATACAAGAAGGAGTAAAATTTACCTACATATAAACAAGCGAATTAGTTCGCACTCAAATGATACAATTTCATTACCAATATGATCAAAACATACTTTAATCACCAATTCGTACTACAACTTCAACAACAATAATAATAACAACATACTCAGTATAATTTCACTGACTCTCACAAGTGGAATTTGGGATAGTATAGAATATACACGAACCTTATTTTTACCTTATCAGGTAACAATATTAATACAACTTGAAAGAAAAGAAATAAAAAATATCATTCACAATATGATAAGTCTTGAACTTTTACACATTTGAAGTATTGTCTTGTTTGACAATATGAGTTGAAGAAAAAGGAGCAGTAACATAAGTACCAGGTGGTGGGGTGGGTACCCCAAAGACTTGGGGATTGGTTTTTAAATCTTGTCTACCTTTAGCTCTTCCAAAGAAAAAACATCCAAATCCAATAAGAATTGTGAAGAGTATAAATGGAAGAGAAATAACAACAACCATACCCATCTCTCTTTTTATTCTAATGTTCTAATTTCTTTGCTTTTATTGGAGTATATAGAGAATATGTGTAGATGCTCAATTTTTATAGGTGGGGGATTTAATTGGATTGTAACGTTAGGCATAACGTTCTACTTTTCTAACGGTTACTTTTTTTGTTTAATTCTGAAAAGAACATGGTATTATGTTTGATTGGTTGGTTAAGGGTAGGGATGGATGCGGGGTTGGTTGAAGTGGGTTTTTAAAAATTAATGTAGGGTGGGCGGGTTGCGGGGTGTGGATATATGGGATTATATGTGAGTTCAAACTTAATTTTAATTTTTTACATGTTATAATGTGATAGAACATTATTTATTAAAATATTAAAAAAAAAACTACTAAAATATTTAAGATAGTAAATGAAAATGGTTCAATAAAAAATAATTCAATTTTTTACATGTTCGTATTGACCTCTAAAAATAAATTTTTAAGTCATTATCCTTTAATTAATACAACTTAATGAAAAGATGAATTTTATTTTTCATATCAAACTTAATTAGAAAAAAAATTAAAAAAATTATGGGGCGGGTCTATGCAGGCCGGGTTGAAAATGAAAAAAATTGTTATGCGAAACATAGTAGATGTAAAATATGTTTTAAGAGGCAATTGAGTTTTTAATCATGCTAAGGCATTTAATCCTTTTGTATTATTCATACCATTAATTTTCATATATTAGTAATACACAATATACAATAAAGTTTGTATAACTAATGCAAACATAAGCTAAAAAAATTATACCAGACAAAGTATTATTAATACACAAAACTAATATATACCTTATTTCTTATAAATCATTATTTATCCATGTTATGTTGTCGTCTTTGGTTGAGTTAGGTCCATTAATTTGACCATGAATATATATTACTTTTTTCCGAAATTAAATTTCAAAAATCATATTTAGCCATAAAAAATATCATAATTTGTATTTACGACTGAACACAAGTTCAATTTGTTTTTGCATTTTATCTTGATGGTGAGGCGGGAGATATGTCTGGAAAAAAGCAGTATATATAAGGAAATGAAACTTGAGAGTTTTGAACTGCACTAACCATTATTATTTATTTGAAACATTGTTTGAATTTGGAACAGACAAGCAGACCTTACTAGTAATAGTTCTTCAATGTAGCTGGTTATTTAAAATGAAAATTCATACTAAAACAGATGATCATAATAAAAAGTCGGAGAAATTCTACTGTTCTTCGAAATCAATTTGCAGGTTCATCAGCTTCAGGAGTCTCTTGTTCAGCTTTCTCTTGCTCAGCTTCCTGCACTTCCTTCTCTGTCTTCCTTCCTTTCTTCGATTTATAGTACACGCTCATGAACGTTCCGATAGCTTTGTACTTCCTTCTGCATTGCTCGTACAGACTGTTATCAAACATCCTCCAGAAATTCTTCTCTGTCAGCTCAGTCACCGCGTATTGAGCCTGAAATCCATGGTTTTCTATCAACCAAAGCTCAAGTTGGCGGCATTTCTCTGAACCATCAAATGGCTCACCCCTCAGGACTGCTCCCGGAACATAGTAGACACCAATATCAGTGTACATTTGTGCATATTCGGTGTCACCCTGCCTTTTGTGTTTCTCGAATCCTGGTTCAGGGTAGATCATTGGTCTCACAGGCAGCTTGTAAATTCTGTGTGGGCAGAGCCAAATGGGATATACCTAAACAAATTCAATTCAATTCAATTCAAATACAATGTGTATGTACCAAAATGTGCTTTAGTCTTGCACGTGGAAAGTTAAAATTGAAGAGCTGCCAAAAACCAAAAAAACGGACTAAAGAAAGAAGTAAGACGAACAAATTTTAAATGGAAATGGGTATTATAAGAGTTTTACCTCCATCTCGCGGTGAACCCATTCGAGACAATCGCCGACCTTGTAAAGAGGAACAAGCAGATCCTGAATGACATGATGGTCATGGTAATAGTTTCTAATAGCCTCACTTTGTGTGGCTTTGAGCAGAGCAATCTTTGGTGGCATGAGCCATCCTAAGAGGAACCTAAACCAGAACTGATCACCAAATGGAAGAATTAGTTTCCCTTCCCAATACAACGATCTCGTGTGCCTGTGGTAGTAGTCCCTAGTCGGAATGTACTCCACAAACTCCCCTCTTTTCAATGCGGTTTGAGCGTGTTGGTAAAACCATGGTTTGAACCACCAACCATAATTGTTGATTACATTACCCCTTCGTTTGGCTTCATTCCTCGAAGCATACATACCGGTCATCATAACACCTTCCGTTGGACCATAAATCATGCCTTCTACCATCTCTGGAACTTTAGAAGGATTGTCCTGATCTCCATCTTTAGGTGCAAAAGAATCCGCGTAAGCCTGTGCAAGCTCTTTAAGATTACCCCTTACAGGTTTGTAGGTAAGTTTTACGTATTGATCAACTGGTATAAGCTTGATTTCAGCTGAAACAAGAAGCCCCAATGTCCCTTGAGACCACGGAATAGCGTAGAAAAGATCAGAATATTCGTTGTCCTTTGTAGCTCTAACAACCTTTCCATCAGCTAGAACAACCTCAAGTGCTACAACAGTGTCAGAGAACAATCCAAAGATGTGAGAACTTCCTTCGACCCCGAACCCATTGATCAAACCTCCAACGGTAAGATCATCAAGCTCAGCAAGAACTGCAAGGGAAAGATTCATTGGGATGGCGACCCTTGACATTTGGCCCATATTGACAAGAGGCTCAACTTTGGCAACCATACGTTCCGTGTCAATATCAAGTATATTTCTAAACTTAGAAAGATCAACTTCAAAATGACGAGCACGTTTATAGTCTACGTTTCTCATTCCAACAACAACCCAAGGAGGCCTGGCCGTGCAGACAAGACCATCCTTTTCTGCATTCCTCTGTTCAAGGCGCTTCACAACCTCTTTAACATTCTCATCGTGTTCCATCTGGCGTTGCTTGTAAGATTTCTTCTCAGACTTCAAATCCCCAAGATATATGGAGAAGTAATACAAGAACGAGAATGGAAGGACAAAAAAGATAACAATGATCCATCGGAACGAAAGAAGAAAGTCCACCAACTGGATCTTCCTCCTAGGGTGAACGGTGGCCGCGGGGGCCTTAGCATCCGACATCTTGGAAACTTGAGGACGTATAACTGTTACAACGACGAATCCAAGTTATGAACCACAGCCAAGAAATGTACTACTACTTGTCATCCATCAATCACATATAGCAATTGAGCACTACTTTTCATATAAGAAACTCAATGCTATTGAAATAAACAAGCTCTTCCAAAAACATAATGCTATTCAAAGTCAGATTAGCAACATGATATAACAAGCATTTGGCGAAAAACGCCAAGTTCAGTATAATCTTGAAACTAAAAGTTGGAAATTATGCACAATATAACCATTGACTGTCCATTTTCTTGCTACTAATTTATCATTGTAAAATCAACTGATGTAAAGGTAAAATTGACTAAATATCGAGTCGAATGTCTGAATGGTCACTCAACTTATACTAATTCACCGTTAAACGTCACTAATCTAAGTTGTCATCCAAAAATCATCTAACTTTTTGACTAATTGACCTCCATGGTCATTTTAATTAGAAATATAATTTCAACTCTTCTTTTTTATATCCTCAGCCTTACAATCCTCTTTCAAAAATATATCATCCATTCACAACAAAAACAAAAAACAAAAAAATGCAGAAAAAAAGAAATAATCCATTCGGCTTTCTCAATAATTTATTCAAGTTTAGGGAAGAACAGTAGTAAACGAAAACAGAGTAACTAATGACATTTTTTGTTGAAATGCAAAACTAACAAAATTACTAATATATGCTTCTAATTGCAGCATTTCCAAAATAAGATTATGCTTCTTCACTTCAAAATTAGTAACTCATTCCACAACAATATAATTTGTTCTTCACAAAATTTAGTTTCAACACATTGGTCTATACAAATAACTTCAAAAAAATTAAACCCAAAAACTTCAGCATGCATGAAAACTCATGAGCAACAAATTAATTTGTTCTACTCTAAATATGTCATGCATTGTACAAAAAAAATAGCATAATTAACTACCAAATTCTTAACACTAATTATGATTTTTCATGAATAAAATTAGCTTGAATTTAACAAAATAATAATCATACTGAGAAATAATTGAGAAGAGATGAAAAATGAGTACCTGATAATTTGATTGCAGAGTGTAATCCCCAAAATGAGAGATGGTTTTGTAATGGTTGAAAGTGTGCTTTATAGAGAACTTACAAGTTACAACAATAGGGGTATTTACGGAAAAACATGTCATTTGGTTGGTAGGGGAGGACATTGACAAAAAATGATACCATACTGATTACACTTAGTAAATTAAGCGTGAATTATTAGTTTCATTCTTAAATTATTTATTGTCTTAAAAATATCTTTTTTTCACTCTACCAACTAAACTTTAAATAATATATCCCTGATCTTACATCATAAATACACTCTCCAAATTCTCGCTAAATTCAAAAATATTTTCAATATTTCTCTCTTTTCGTATGGACCATATCTATATTTAAATGAAATGATGAAACAAATCAATCAAAAATATAAAAATAAATATAAAAAAAACATTTTATAAGTGAGACTAAGTTCTTTAGCCCACCATTTAGCCTACCAATCAAATGACCCCACACTACTTTAACTATAATTGTTAGAAAATGTACAAAAGTATCACTATAATTTTACATTTTTTATTCCACTTTTGAAGAGTCGTTAATTATTCTTTATATACCGTTAAATGTCATTATAGTAATAATATCATTTGAAAAATACATAATTATCATAGTGAGGTACTATTTAGATTTTATTTTTGAAGAAAAGTATGAAATATAACTAGTTTAATGATTTTGAATATAAAAAAGAAGCAATATATTTGTTAATTAAATTAAACGCTAATGGGCATTCATCGTGAAGTGATGTAATTTATGGACATTATTTAAATATTATTATTTTTAGATATTCATATTTAAAAACACTTATTATATATTTTACT